GTAAAACTGCGACCCTGCGTCCTGGACTCAACTCTGGGTTGTCATAATTTAGATTGTAAAACAAACTCGTCCAGATTTTTAGATAAGAGAGCCGCACCACCCAAAGTGGGATGGATGCCATCTCTACTAATCAGACCAGGTTTTCCCCAAAATGTTTTCCAGTTATCTATGAAGCCCATGTTATTTTCTGGGCACCACCTAGACAGCCAGCGGTTGAATGACGACATGCAGCTAAACATGTCATCACTGGTCACATTGGGTAGGGGTCCAGAGAAAACTACGGAGTCCAACATTGTTTTAGCGAAGTTACACACTGACTCAACATTAATTTTAATTGGTGCAAGTGTATGTTGTCACTCAAAAATTCAGATGAACCTAGAAAATAGTGAGTTTAATTCCTAAACAATCTGGAAGCAAGCACAACGCAGTGCAAATACAGAAAACAGGAAATGAATACGGTTTACCGCTTTTGTCTCTCCTCTATCCACTCACCCCAACCGGTCGAGGCAGAAGGCCGCCCACCAAGAGCCGGGGTCTGTCGGAGGTTTCTTCCGTTAAAGGGAGTTTTTCCTCCCCACTGTCGCCAAGTGCTTGCTCAAGGGGGATTTGTTGGGTTTTCCCTATGTAATAATATTGATAACAGTAAGGTCTAGACCTTACTTTGTAAAGTGTCCTGAGATGACTTTTGTTGTGATTTGGCGCTATACAAATAAAATTTGATTTGATTTGATATGATGTGAAACCCAGTGACAGTTGTCAGTACATCCATGGGTACAGTGCAGACTGGAACTGCTGTTAACTATTTCAGTGTGCTTTTAATCTATGTTTAAGATGATAATTGAAAAAAAAAACTACTGGAAATATTCCATGTTTGGTTTTACAGACTGTTACTCCTGGAGCCTTCATTGCAGTGACTTATAGTAGCAGCCCGATACAAACAAAAAAGCTACTTCCTAGTAATCAAATTCAGCAGTTTAACCCTAATATGTCCAACACAGTCCTAGGATATTTTTTAGTCTTGAATCTGATTTTACTATGAATAAGCTGTACTTTCTTCCACTGGACTTGTCATTTAGGAGCATACGATGTCTTCGAAACATCATCCACTGGAATCTGATCACCACCTTCATACTGAGGAATGTTATGTGGTTTTTGCTTCAGCTGATTGACCACAATATCCATGAAAGCAACGAGGTAACAAAATCTATGTATTACAGGCTGTTAATGTATTGTGATGTAGTATTACTTAAATAGAGAGTGTAAAAAACAATTACAAGTAAATGTACACTCCTAATGAGTAAGATAGTCTTAATAAGATATGTACAGTTTGAATGACTTTGATTCATGTCTTCTCTTTTTCAGCCTTGGTGTCGATTAATTACAACTATATACAATTACTTTGTGGTGACAAACTTTTTCTGGATGTTTGTTGAGGGATGTTACCTTCATACAGCCATTGTAATGACCTACTCAACTGATAAGCTGAGAAAGTGGGTCTTCCTTTTCATCGGCTGGTGTGAGTATGTTCATGCTGACAGAGTAATGATACACTGAGCCGGTGGTTTTTACAGCACCCTGGGTTCATGGTTTGGTACTCTACACTTATAATGTTTTTAATTTTGAATGAAAATGCTAAATGGCAGTAGAAGTGTTAACTCTACTGATGATGTAAATGAACACAGCCGCAACTGTGTTAATTTTAATACAGCTCCATTCAGGATCTTGTGCCATTGCACAGGTGTGGCCTGAGAGGGAGCATAGAAGAAAGTCTAAGTTTACAGCAACTGAACCCTATAGTTGAAAAAAAAATTAACAAACATATTTCTGATTTACAATCACAGAGTTTTCTGCCAGTCAAATCATCTTTTATTTAATTCAGTGACTGAAGCATGTTTTGACATGAAAGCCTGAAAAAGTCCCCTATTCTCCTGTGTCCAGTGATGTGACTTGCAAACACCCTCTTCTTCCTCACGTGTTCCGCACTCCAGGGTGTACAAATGACTAACAGCTGCCACGCTGAGAGTAGCGCCAATAATTTAACACCTGCTTTCTCCTGATGTTAAATTTCAGCTGCAGTTCCCGGAAAGCACTTAAGTGAAGATGGTTAACAGGTGAAGCACAGGAAAACCCTTAGTGCTTCAAATAAGGTTTTATAAGAGAACAAGGCAGCAGTGAATTGTAGAAAATGTCATTTTCTGTGCTTGATTTCCAGTTCTAGAATAAATTTTGAAAATGCAGCAGATTTCCCACCACGACTACATAAATTATCTATACTTACCTTGACTTAAACTATTAAAGGAAGCATATTGTAAGTTGGACAAAGCCTGCACCAGTGTCAGACTATTCCATCATGAGGCAGAAAAATCACATGGAAATGTTCTTCTGTGAGACAGTCTGACATTTTCATTCTTTCATTTTATGTAATGGACATTGTGTGCTCCTGTAGGATGAGAAAGGTCAGACTAAAATGATTCAAAAAAGTTTTTTGAACACAACAATGAAGGATAAATAGAAGATGACATAATAGTAACGACAGACATCATTGGGAAGCTTGTGTTGGCTTCAAAATCGAAATAACCAAAAGGGAGATATTGCACATATCAGTCATTTTAATGACTGAATGTGATTAAAATATTAAGTAACTGACAACTTTTCCAATGATGATTAGGTTATCTGTGTAGCTTCCGTTCTGAGGAAGGTCAATTCAGCAGTACTTGATATTCACTAAGTACTCCTGCAGGTGCAGATTAAATCTTGCTATTTAAAATGTGATACAAAGAATAGAGTAAGAAATTAAAATGATATCCTAAGAGTCATACTAAAATAGAAACAGTACAGGAGCTCCAGGGTGTGCACATTACATCATATAAATAGAGAAAAATTAGTATGAATAATCATCTATAAAAAGAATTATTTTATATATTCATCTTTTCCATTTCAGGAAACCACGAGCCAGTAAAACGATCTTGAGAGATTTTTAATTAGAACTCAGTGGGAAGTGATGGAAGTGGGGCAGGTAAAATTTGTTTTCCACTAGAAGCTGGATATTACCTGGGATCACAGCAGGTTTAGACCCATGTCCTTTCAGCTCTGTTAAAGGTCATTTCACCTTTATGGATGTCTGGTCCACTAGGTCTAGCTAGTTACACAGGCTGGATCCTTGGTCAGCTGTCACCTTTTTAACAAATCTGATTTGTGCATTAGTTAATAAAACTTAGCTAGAAGATGTTTTGCTCATTTTGTCCGCTCACAGGCAGTGTGAAAAAGTAAAGAACCAAATGATTAAAAAAAAGTCCTTCTTGAGCTGCTAGCTTTGAGTTAGCAGTGAGATATTCCCTGAAAAGCCTTTATTTTTCTTTTACATCTTTAGCAGCAAAAAAGGTCTGATACAGCAGTTTCAAAACAGTTTGGAAAAAGAAATGCTGATATACAGAATAACATTAAAACAAAGGACTATAGATAGATTTAGTTGTACCATATATGAAGCTGCACAAAAACAGGGCTTCACCTTCATCATTCAGCCATACTGCCTCCATCTAAAGGCCTTTTGTTGTTATTTTGACATGGTTGTGTACAGGACCTGAATGCAAACATGAAACCAATATTACTGACTGGCACAACGAGGCTTTAATTAGGACCAGGGAATGGAAAACTGAACAAGATAGTGGCAAACTAAAGTAAGGTGGACCAAGAAGCACAATATTATGCCAAAGCTAAGGTAAGGACATGGGGAGAAACAATACCAAAAGAGAAACACTAAACCATAAGCAATACTGTAATACCCCGGTTCTTTTATTGGACAGTTCTGAATAACAAAGGAGTCTGTCTTCATTTAGTGCTAATTCGTTTTAAACCAGAAGTAAAAAATTACAAAACAGAACCCGGGTGGCTCCCCCTTCCAGGCATCCCCTTGCAGGCTGCTGGAAAAAAAAGGAGAGCCCCGGAAACACAGAGCCTAATACATTTATAAGTTTTGGGTAACCCCTTACACAGATGAAGTCAGTCCGCAGACTCCATCTCTTATCTACAGCTCCTGGATTTTACCTAGTCATAACAAAATGAGGAAGCTCAATGTGTGTGTATGTTGTCACATGGTGCATAACTAAGGCATTCATTCAGACATAATATTCTAACACAAGATTTAATACAAGAAAACAATTGGTGCCATGGTTCACTTTTCAGAATCAACACACTGTCTTTTAACCTTGAAACAGAGCAGACTACAGCAGACTTTAATTCAATACATTATCTAATAATTATCTGATTTACTGATATCTAACAATACCAACATATAGGGAGGCTCGGTCAAGAGCACAAACTCTCTGACCTGACTTTAATATCAAAGGCAAAATCCACCAAGAAATAAAAAACCAGGGAGCAAGCATGTGACACATCACAAACAGGAGCTACAAACAGACTAACAAATCATAGAAGCAAGGGCAGGGAGAAGCTGGAGGGGGAAACAAAACAGGAACAGCTTCCAAAATTGCTACACAGGAAATCAGTGAAGCAGGGTGACAATACAGATAAATGGACACAGTAGCAGATACACTCATAAGAACAGAGCAGGAGGTTATGACTATCAAACAAGGTAATACAGGAGCAACAGGCTGCATAAACAAACCACCAACCAGATGGCATGAGGTGAGGTTGATATATAGGCAGAGCAGGAGGATAACGAGCATCAGGTGGAATCAATGAGTGGTAATCAGCGGCAGTGTCAAGCTGGGGATGGTGAACAAGCAGCAGACAGGAAGTAAATTCAAAATAATAGCCTGAAACAGGAAGTCTAACCAAAATCACAACATAATGGTATAAATCTGCAGGTTACTACAATTGTATATTATTTAATACATTAAATAGATTATTGTATTAAAAGGCTATCAATATTATACACACTTTATAAATATTTTATGTTTCTGGCTTACAAAATATTTTTTAAATTTATTTTTATAGGCATTCCATGTCCTATAATAGTAGCCTGGGCCATTGGAAAGTTGTATTATGAAAATGAAAAGTAAGTATTTAAGTCTATGGTCAAATTCCTCTGTTGTTTTCCTAACATGTTTCTTGATTTGATGCTATTGATCTTTTATTCTCATCTGTCAACAGATGTTGGTTTGGTAAAGAACCGGGAAAATACATGGACTACATTTACCAGGGACCAGTTATTCTTGTGCTTCTGGTAGGTGGCAGCCTAGAAAGTCATGTTCACTAATGAAAATGGTTTTATATGGTTTTATTTCCATCTTGCATTTGGCTCATATATCTTCCTGATGGTTAAGGCATTTTTAGACAAAAGAATCCTGCAAATGAGAAACTGTATTCATAGAAATGCATCTACTAATTTTTTACCAGCATCTAGTGCAGTGGCCAGTCCTTTAACACTGTCTTGCTGAGGAAGGAGGTGGCTTTTGATTTGCATTGCCCTCTACTCCTCCTACACAGCACTTATTCAGAAAAGTATGTTCTTAGAAGAAAACTGCTCTTAGTATTTTTCAGTGCAAGCCATTACCACAGGGTTCAAACCTAATTATTTGTGTGTGTGTGTGTGTCTTTTTTCTAGATAAACTTTGTTTTCCTTTTCAACATAGTAAGAATTCTTATGACCAAACTAAGAGCTTCAACCACATCTGAAACAATACAGTACAGGTGAGTTGATTCTGTGTATGACTGGGTACAAAATGATATCCTTCTCCTCCAGTTTGGTCCATCCAAGGACAGCATGAGTGATTTAAGGCTGTGAAGACTTGCAATTGTAGTTGATAAATTACAAAACAACACTGATACTTCAAGCAGAGAGGCAGTTTTTTTTATCATAATAGTCAGGGCTAATATTTCTAACATTATATGGCTGACATTTAAATTAAGTTGCATGGCAGCTCACATGAAAATCTCTCAAAGAGGTGAAGTCAGACATCAGGTTTTGAATTTATAGATGTAGTAAAAAGGATTATGGACATTTTAAAAAAATGCTATTATAAATGTGCTATATGTTATGTTGTGCATCTGACTAGTAAATAATTATGTTTTCATGTGTTTTATGAGTGAAGTGCATTTTTCTTGTTAAGGGTTTATTTCAAGTGCATGAGGTGTTTGCACTGTCGCACCACTGACAACTTCAATTCAGGCTTTTCAGGCTAGAGTTGGATTTATGGTTGATGTGTGACAGATACACTAACCTGCACCATGCAGATTTAAGTCGGTGGAAGGAAGGAGCGAGACATAAATTGTTGACCAAAAATAGAACATAATGGTTCCTTCAAAACGCTGCTGGAATAGTATGAACAAAATAAATGGGGGTTGGGGGTGACACTGAAAGCTGAATTACTGCCTGTCAGGAAACTTAATTTTTAAAATATATCACCCTATATTTACTGTAAAATGCCATCTTCATTTTAAACATCTTGAGTTCACGTGTGAAAAATCCCTTTTGATCAGTGTTTATTCTCCTGCATCATTACACTGCTTTGTCTTTTTAGCTTTTTAGTCCATCAGGGAAAGGGCAGTTCAATTTGCAGAACACTGAAACTAAAATCCATTTATGACAACTTATTAATATTAGTAACTAATTCATTTTTTAAGCATGGCTTATTAACATTTGTAACTACAACCTGGTGGCTTATAAAAAGAAAATATTTACTAATGTAATATGAAAATGTATGACTGCATTAGCAAAGAAACAAACAAAAAACCTCACTGAGCTATAAAGCATCAGTAAATGATTTGTTAACATCTTTATAACATCTTTATGAAGCGTGCCTTAATAGAAGGTGGCACCCATGTTCTAAACTAGTCTTCATCTCTAATCATGTTGATACCGTGAGAAGCAAAGTGGGGGTGTTTTTCTGCCACTGACGCACAATCATGCATTTTCTAAAATCAACTCGGATGAAAGTCAAGTTCTTATTATAGCAATTTTATAAACGAGGCCCTTGATGTTCTGTTCTTGTCTCCACAGGAAAGCTGTAAAAGCAACCCTGGTTTTGCTGCCTTTGCTGGGCATTACTTACATGCTCTTCTTTGTGAACCCCGGGGAGGATGACATCTCACAAATCGTCTTCATCTATTTCAACTCCTTTTTGCAGTCTTTTCAGGTGACAATAAGAATTATAACATGGTGCAACACTGGCCAATGCGAGAGAACCCACACACGCTGGCTGGGAAACGACAGTGTGAATCATGCTGATTTTATAATGTGCTTGATTGCAGAG